AGCTCACCGCAACCTCCGTCTCCTGGGCTCAGGCAATTCTCCTGCCTCAGCCTCCTAAGTAGCTGGGATTACAGGCATGCGCCACCACGCCCAGCTAGTTTTTTGTATTTTTAGTAGAGACGGGGTTTCACCATGTTGACCAAGATGGTCTCGATCTCTCGACCTCGTGATCCACCCGCCTCGGCCTCCCAAAGTGCTGGGATTACAGGCTTGAGCCACTGCGCCCGGCCTGACTGTTCACTTTTTAATTGCATTTTTGATGAAATAATGTCTATTTCATTAAACGTTTCCTTTATAGTTAATTGCTTCCTGTGTCCTCTCTAAGTTACCTTTGCCCACCCTGAAACAGCAAAGATTTTTTTTGTATATTTTGTTATGATGGAAGCTTTATCATTTTGCCATTTATATTAATGTCTGATTCATCTCAAATTCCTTGATTTTTTTTCTTCTTCCCATGGGAGGCACAACATTGGAATGTATGTTTGTGTTTTTTTACAGACAGGGTCTTGCTCTGATGCCCAGGTTGGAGCGCAGTGGCTATTCATAGGTGTGGTCATAGCTCACTGTGGCCTCAAACTCCTGGCCTCAAGCAGTTGTCCCGTCTCAGCCTCCCAAGTAGCTGGGACTACAGGCGTGTACCACTATACCCTTCAGATTAATTCTTATGCATGGTGAGAAGTAAAGGTTGAGGTTCATTTTTTTCTGCATGGCTATCTAGTTGTTCCAGTACCATTTATTGAAAAGACTTTCCTTCCCTTATTTGAATGCTTGGCACTTTTGCCAAAAACCAAATGGCAGTATGAGTCACTTGTATGAATAGTAGGTCTATTTCTGCATACCATTTTATTGTGTTGATATACTTGTCTATATACTAAATTATATTGTCTGCTGGGCATGGTGGCTCATGCTTGTAAATCCCAGCATTCTGGGAGGCCAAGATGGGAGGATCACTTGAAACCAGGAGTTTGAGACCAACCTGGGCAACACAGTGAGACCTTGTCTCTATTTCTTTATTAAATTTTTTTGGTAAAATAATTTATATAAATAAATTCATGTTGTCATGATTATTATATCTTTATCATAAGTCATGAAATCAGATAATGCAAGGTCTTCATTTTTTCAAGACATTCTAGGTCCTTTGCATATTTTAGGTTCTCAGCATTTTCATGTATTTTTTATTTTTCTGAGACAGGGTCTCAAGGCTGGAGTGCAGTGGCATGATCACGGCTCACTGCAGCCTTGACCTGGGCTCAAGCAATTCTCTCATCTCAGCCTCCACAGTAGCTGGGAATACAGATGCTCACTACCACACCTGGCTAATTTTTTGTATGTTTTGTAGAGACAAGGTTTCGCCATATTGTCCAGGCTGGTCTCCAACTCCTAGACTCAAGCAGTCGGCCCACCTTAACCTCCCAAAATACTGGGATTATAGGCATGAGCCCTGAACCTGGCCTCATGTGTATTTAGAATCAGTTTACCAGTTTCTACAAAAAAAGATAAAACTGGTAGGAACATACATCAACTTGGGAAAAATTGACATCTTAACAATATTAAGTCTTCTAATTAATATATATGACACATTTTTATTTAGGTCTTTATCTCTGCAACATTTTATTGTTTTCAGTGTACAGATTTTGCACATTTTTCTTTAAACTTATTCCTAAATATTTTGTTCTTTGATGCTATTGTAAATGAAATTAAGAATTTTTTAGAAGTGTCAATTGCTGCTAAGTTCAACTTACTTTTGTTTTTGACCTTACACCTGCTGTTTTGTTAAATTTCTGTGTCAGTGTATTAGTTGTTTTGTAGATTCCTTAAGATTTTCTTTTTTTTCTTTTTTTTTTTTTTGAGACGGAGTTTCGCTCTTGTTACCCAGGCTGGAGTGCAATGGCACGATCTCGGCTCACCGCAACCTCCGCCTCCTGGGTTCAAGCAATTCTCCTGCCTCAGCCTCCTGAGTAGCTGGGATTACAGGCAAGCGCCACCATGCCCAGCTAATTTTTTGTATTTATAGTAGAGACGGGGTTTCACCATGTTGACCAGGATGGTCTCGATCTCTCGACCTCGTGATCCACCCGCCTCGGCCTCCCAAAGTGTTGGGATTACAGGCTTGAGCCACTGCGCCCGGCCCTTAAGATTTTCTACATAAACAATCATGGTATCTCTGAGTACACACAATTTTATTTCTTCCTTTCAAACCCTTAAGCCTTTTATTTCTTATAAATATTATTGCACTGGCTAGTACCTCCAGTACACTATTAAATAGAAGTGTTAACGTGAATATCATTGCCTTGTTCCTGCTCTTAGAGGATAAGTTTTTAATATTTTAACAATAAGTTTGATGCTGGCTATAGGTTTTTTGTGTATGCCTTTTTTTTCTTTCTTTTTTTTTTTTTTGTTGCGACAGAGTCTTGCTCTGTAGCCCAGGCTGGAGTGCAATGGCACGATCTCGGCTCACTGCAACGTCTGCCTTCCAGGTTCAAGTGATTCTCCTGTCTCAGCCTCCTGAGTAGCTGGGATTACAGGCACGCACCACCACACCCAGCTAACTTCGGTATTTTTAGTAGAGACAGGGTTTCACCATGTTGGTCAGGCTAGTCTCGAAATCCTGACCTCATGATCCGCCCGCCTCAACCTCCCAAAGTCCTGGGATTACAGGCGTGAGCCACCGTGCCTGGCCTTTCGTATGTGTGTTTTTTTTTTTTTTTTTTTTTTGAGACGTAGTTTCACTTGTTACCCAGGCTGGAGTGCAATGGCGCGATCTTGGCTTACCGCAACCTCCGCCTCCTGGGTTCAGGCAACTCTGCTGCCTCAGCCTCCTGAGTAGCTGGGACTACAGGCACGCGCCACCATGCCCAGCTAATTTTTGAATTTTTAGTAGAGACGGGATTTCACCATGTTGACCAGGATGGTCTCGATCTCTTGACCTCATGATCCACCCACCTTGGCCTCCCAAAGTGCTGGGATTACAGGCATGAGCCACCACGCTCGGCCTCGTATGTGTTTTATCAAATAGAAGTTATGTTCTATTTCTGATTCTCTGAGAGTTATTAAAATGAATGGGTACTTCATTTGGTCAAATGCTTTTTCTGCATCTTTAAAAATTATTGGCTGGGTGATGCCTGTAATCCTAGCACTTTGGTAGGCCAAGGCAGGTGGATCACCTGATGTCAGGAGTTCAGAACCAGTATGGCCAACATGGTGAAATCCTGTCTCTACCAAAAATACAAAAATTAGCTGGACATGGTGGTGAGTACCTGTAAACCCAGCTAGTCGGGAGGCTGAGGCAGAAGAATCACTTGAACCTGGGAGGCTGAGGTTGCAGGTGAGCTGAGATCACTCCACTGCACTGTAGCCTGGGTGACAGAGCAAGACTCTTGTCTAAATATATATATGAAATGGTTTTTCTCCTTTGTTCTGTTAATACAGTGTATTACATTGATTTATTTAATCACGTTTTGTGTGTGTATGAACAGAGTCTCCCTCTGTCGCCCAGGCTGGAGTGCAGTGGTACAATCTCGGCTCACTGCAACCTCTGCCTCCCAGGTTCAAGCAATTCTGCTGCCTCAGCCTCCCGAATAGCTGGGATTACTGGCGCTCACCACTATGCCCAGCCAATTTTTGTATTTTTAGTAGAGACAGAGTTTTGCCATGTTCGACAGGCTTTTCTCAAGCTCCTGACCTCAAGCTATCTGCCTGCGTCAGCCTCCCAAAGAAAGTGCTGGGGTTACAGGTGTGAGCCACTGCAACTGGCCCATTGATTTATTTTCAAATGTTCAACCAACCTTTCATTTGTGAGATAAACCAAACATGGACAACACATACTGTTTTTATATATTGCCAAATTCAATTTGCTAATGTTTTGTTAAGGACTTTTTGTTTGTTTTGCTTGTTTTTTGAGTGGAGCCTTGCTCTGTTGCCCAGGCTGGAATGTAATGATAATGATCCTAGCTCGTTGGAGCCTCAAACTTGTGGCCTCAAGTGATCCTCTTACCTCAGCCTCCTAAGCAACCAGGACTGTAAGCACGTGCCACCATGACTGACTAATTTAAAAAAAAAAATTTGTGGATACAGGATCTTACTGTATTGTCTAGGTTGATCTTGAAATCCTGGCTACAAGTGATCTTCCTGCCTCAGCCTCCCTAAGTGCTGAGATTCCAAGCATGAGCCACCGTGCCCGGCCCTTTGTCTGTGTTTATTGAGGAACATTGTTGTGTGTTTTTTTGATTTTTAAAATTTAGTTATATCAGGTAACTTAGGCCAGAGGGATGTTAAAATCTCTGTGACTATAGCTCTTTTCTTTTTTGTTTTCAAGACAGGGTGTTGCTCTGCCACCGAGGCTGGAATATAGTGGCACAATTGTGGCTCTCTGCAGCCTCAACCTGGGTTCACACAATTCTCCTACCTCAGCCTCTTGAGAAGCTAGGACTACAGTTGTGCACTACCACACCTGGCTAATTTTTGTATTTTTTGTAGAGATGGAGTTTCACCATGTGGCCCAGGCTGGTCTCGAACTCCTGGGTTCAAGCAGTCTGCTTGCCTCAGCCTTCCAAAGTGCTTGGATTACAGTCGTGAGCCACTACGCCCAGCCACTTTTTTTTTTTTCTTTTAGTTCAGTCAATTTTTGTTTCTTATATTTTGATATTGTATTGTTAGATACACATACATTTATGATTGTTATTGTAGGGGAGGAAAAAATGGTTTCTTTTCACCCTTCTAAGTAATTTCTTTGGCTGGGTCATTAATTAAATTGACATGAGACAGATTAACAGGTGAAAAGAACGTTTTAATTGTGTGTCCATGCATGTATACATAGGGGTCCCACAAAAATATGAGGTTAAAGGGCCAGATGATTGACACTTATGTAGTAGCTTGAGCTACAGAAAGGAAGAGAGCCTTGGGATTTCTAGGGAGTGGTAGAAACAAACTAGGGGCGAGTGAGGGGAAGAAACATACAGTGAATAAAAATTGCCTTGCTATGTAGGTAAAAGTATCTGTGGTTGTCCTGGCCTCTGCTTTTTCTACTCCCCTCTGTTTTTTCAGCCCCTCCGGTGCTCAGTTCTAATAAGGTAGTATGGCAGGACACACAGCAGTCTCCTTCAGTTTAGGAGGGCTGTCTTTAGAATAGAGCTGTCTTTTAAAGGCACGAGAGTACAATTTTTAAAATGTTTTTCAGGTGAGAAGTGGTCTTGGTACAGCTCTCTTCTTGGGAGACTTACTTTTGTTGATGAAAATTCTTTTAGAGATGGCACATTTTCTTTCTTTTTTTCTTTGAGATGGAGTCTTGCTCTGTCGCCCAGGCTGGAGTGCAGTAGCACAATCTCAGCTCACTGCAACCTCTGCCCCCAAGTAGCTGGGATTATAGGTGCCTGCCACTACGCCTGGCTAATTTTTGTATTTTTTTAGTAGAGACTCAGTTTCACCTTGTTGGTCAGGTTGGTCTCGAACTCCTGACCTCAGGTTATCCACCCACTTCGGCCTCCCAAAGTACTGGGATTACAGGCATGAGCCACCTCACCCGGCGTTGAGATGGCAGATTTTCTTTATAGAGGGGAAAATTTTCAGAGCTACTCCTATGTCTACAGTTTCTCAAAGTATTTATCTTGAAATAATTAATATGTCAAAGGGGTATATTTTGGAATGTCATATTCTGGTCTCCTAAAGTTGTATTTTGAATATACCTATTATGTACCCACAAAAATTAAAATTAAAAAAAAATTGTTTTGTGTTTTGGGGTGGAGTGCCTTGAGCCTCAACATTAAACATTATATATTACTGATAAATGGACTATTTTGTCATTATGAAATGTCCTTCTTTATCTTAGTCATACTCTCTATATTACAGTTTACTTCATGTGATATTGCTATAGACATTGAAGTTGCCTTATACTTGGTTTTTACATGGTATATGTTTTTCAGTCCTTTCCCTTTCAGCCTATGTTTCTATATGTTTTGTACACAGCCTATAGTTGGGTCCTCTTCAGTGGCTTATGCCTGTAATCCCAGCTCTTTGGGAGGCCAAGGCAGGCAGATCACCTGGGGTCAAGAGTTCAAGACCAGGCCAGGCATGGTGGCTCACGCTTGTAATCCAAGCACTTTGGAGGCCAAGGCGGGCAGATCATCTGAGGTCAGGAGTTCAAGACCAGCCTGACCAACATGGTGAAACCTCATCTTTAAAAAAAAAAGAAAAAAAAAAAGAGTTCAAGACCAGTCTGGCCAACATGGTGAAACCTTGTCTCTACTAAAAATAAAATTTAAAAAAACTAGCTAGATGTAGTGACACACGCCTGTAGTCCCAGCTACTTGGGGAGGCTGAGGCAGGAGAAACACTTAAACCCAGGAGGCTGAGGTTGCAGTGAGCCGATACTGCACTACTGCACTCCAGCTTGGGCGACAGAAGGAGACTCTATTTAAAAAAAAAAAAAAAATTGGGCCTTCTTAATCTAGTCTGATAAACTGCCTTTTAATTAGAGCCTTTAGTCCGTTTACATTTAATGTAATTCTTGATTTGATTGGATTTAAGTGTATATGTTTACTACGTAAATTGAAAATTAATTGAGCCAGGCACAGTGGCTCACACCTGTAATCCCAGCACTTTGCGAGGCTGAGGCAGACGGATCACTTGAGTTCAGGAGTTTGTGATCAGCCTGGCCAACGTGGCAAAAACCTGTCTCTACTAAAAATACAAAAATTAGCCAGGTGTGGTGGTGGGTGCCAGTAATTCCAGCTACTTGGGAGGCTGAGGCAGGAGAATCGCTTGAACCTGGGAGGCAGAGGTTGCAGAGAGCTGATATTTTGTCATTGCACTCCAGCCTGGGGAACAAGAGCGAAACTCCATCTCAAAAAGAAAAAAAAAGAAAAGAATTAATTGGTTGTTCTTTAGAATTCCATTTTAGTTTGGTCATCATCTTCTTTCCCCATCTGCTTCTCTAATTTACTGGCAACGTACATCATAAAAAAAGACTACATGCCAGCTGATTCAGAAAGACTTATAATTTTCTTGGATAATGTAGAATTTTTTTAGAGTTGTAATTGTAGAAAGTTAGAATTATCTCTTAGTTTTTTTTTTTTTTTTGAGACGGAGTTTCACTCTTATTTCCCAGGGTGGAGTACAATGGCATGATCTTGGCTCACTGCAACCTCAGCCTCCTGGGTTCAAGAGAATCTCCTGTCTCAGCCTCCTCAGTAGCTGTGATTCCAGGCACCCACCACTATGCCTGACTAATTGTTGGTATTTTCAGTAGAGATGGGTTTTCACCATGTTGGCCAGGCTGGTCTTGAACTCCTGACCTCAGGTGATCCACCTGCTTTGGCCTCCCAAAGTGCTGGGATTACAGGCATGAGCCACCGTGCCCAACCACCTCTTGGTATTTTTTTAAAAAATTAACTTCTTTGAGATGTAATTTGTATACAAAAGCATAAGTCTATATTTTGATGAGTTTTGACACATTAATCATGCATGTAAGCACACAATCAAGGACACATAGCTATTGCTCTACAATACTCCCTGTATTCATTTTTCAGTCACTGTTCTCTCATTCTGCCATTCCTAAGTAAACACTGAGCTGTGTCTATCACTATAGATTACACTTATCTTTTCTAAAGATTTTGGCTTCTAACTTTTCTAAAGATTTCTGGCTTCTTTTACTCAGTATATTTTTGAGATTCATCCATGAGGTGGTAGTTATCAATAGTTTATTCTTTTTTCCATTGTATTAATATTCCACAGTTCATTTACCCAGTTAAAGGTATAATATAATTATCACTACTGTTGTTTCTGATTAAGTCAGTGACAATTCATATTCTTGTTCCCTCTGTGTATTGTGTCATTTTTTTCTGTAGTTTATTTCAAGGTTTTCTACTTATCTTCGGTTTTCAGCAGTTTGACTTTGATTTACTCACTTGCTGTTTTCTTTGCGTTTTTCCTGTTTGGAGTTTTCTGAGTTTCTTGACCTGTGAAGTTACATCTTTCACCAAACTTGTGAAATTTTATTTGTTTTTTTAAAAATTTGAAATAAGGTCTCACTCTGTCACCCAGGCTGGAGTGCAGTGGCGCAATCTTGACTCACTGCAACCTCAGCCTTCCAGGCTTAAACGATCTTCCCACTTCAGCTTCCCAAGTAGCTGGGACCACAGGCATGCGCCACCATGTCTGGCTAATTTTTGTATTTTTTGCAGATACGAGGGTTCGACACATTGCCTAGGCTGGTCTCAAATTCCTGGGCTCAAGTGATTTGCCAATGTTGGCCTTCCAAAGTGCTGGGATTACAGGTGTGAGCCACCACACCTGGCCAAATTAGTGAAATTCTCTGACATAACTTTCAGATATTTTTTCTGCCTTATTCCCTCTTTTCCTTCTGGGACTCCACTCTCACATGAGTTAGACCTTTTGATATTGTCTGACAGCTCACTGAGGCTCTCTTCATTTCTCACTATTTCTCATATTAAGTAATTTCTTTTCTTTTCTTTGGTTTTTTTTTTTTAGAGACAGAGTCTTGTTTCTTTGCCCAACCTGGAGTGCAATAGCACTATCTTGGTTCGCTGCAAGTCTGCCTCCTGGGTTCAAGCAGTTCTCCTGCCTCAGCCTCCCAAGTAGCAGGGATTACAGGCATATGCCAACATGCCCAGCTAATTTTTGTATTTTTAGTAAAGACGGTTTCACCATGTTGGCCAGGCTGGTTTTGAACTCCTGACCTCAAGTGATCCACCCACCTCAGCCTCCCAAAGTGCTGGGATTATAGGCGTGAGCCACTGCCCCTGGCCATATTGGATAATTTCTATTGATGTATCTATTTAAGTTCACTTGCTGTTCTATATCATTTCCATTCTGCTATTAAGCCCATGCAGTGAATTTCATATTTTCAGTACTGTCATTTCAATTCTGTTTCTCTGCTATAATCCCAGCACTTTGGGAGGCTGAGGCAGGAGGGTCCCTTGAGCCAGGAATTCGAAACCAGCCTAGGCAACATAGTGAGACCCTGTCTCTACAAAAGGAAAAAGAAAATAATTAGGTGGGTGTCATGGCGCACACCTGTACTTCCACCTACCAGAAGGCTGAGGTGGGAGAATTACTTGAGTCCAGGAGTCTGAAGCTTCAGTGAGCTGTCATTGTGCCATTGCACTCCAGCCTGGGCAACAGAGCAAGACCCCACTCAAAACAAGAAAACAAAAAAACAAATAATAAACGAAGAAATAGAAATAATTAACATTTTCTAATGGTCAGATCCTCTCCAGTTTATTATTTGTCTGTTTGTTGTTTACTCTTTAGTGCTCCAGGTAGATATGTTTTTACTGTTTTATTTTTTGAGACAGAGTCTTGCTCTGTCTCCCAGGCTGGAGTACAGTATCATGATCTCGGCTCACTGCAGCCTCCACCTCCCAGGTTAAAGTGATTCTCCCACCTCAGCCTCCCGAGAAGCTGGACCTCAAGTGTGCAATCACACCTGGCTAACTTTTGTGTTTTTAGTAGAGACAGGGTTTCACCATGTTGGCCAGGCTGGTCTCAAACTCTTGATCTCAAGTGATATGCCCACCTTGGCCTCCCAAAGTGCTGATATTCCAGGCATGTGCCACTGTACCTGGCCCCTTTTCACTTTTGTTTAGAATTTAGATTTTATTTTATTTTTGAGTTTGGATCTCACTCTGTTGCCCAGTGTGGCATGCTATGGCTCAATCTCGGCTCACTGCAGCCTCCACCTCCCAGGCTCAAATGATCCTCCCACCACGTTCTCCCAACTCGCTGGGACTACAGGTATGCACCACCACACCTGACTAATTTTTGTATTTTTTGTAGAGACAAGGTTTCACCATGTTGCCCAAACTGGTCACCATCTTTTGGGCTCAAGCCATCTGCCTGCTCTTACCTCCCAAAGTGCTGGGATTACAGATATGTGCCACTGTGCCTGGGCAGAATTTAGATTTTTTTTAATCTGCAGGATGGTTGGTCTATTAGAAGTAACTTTGTGTTTATTAGAAGGAGATCTCTGGCTGCTTACATTAGATGGGCCAAAGAACAGATAAACTGGTGTCAGGGAGACTATTAGAGTACCAGTGAGATGAAGTGAGAGCCTTATTCATGTAGCAAAGGAACAGAAAGGAAAGGCTTTCTGAGGTAGGATTGATGAGATTTGTTAACTGCTTAGAGGTAGAAGCTGTGAGA